TATAAAAGGACAGATTATGCAAAACCTCACTAATCGGCACAGTGTGCATCTAAGCACTCCCTAAAAACTTTAATCTCCTAATCACTAGCCAAAAAAAAATTTCAAATACAGCTCTATCCTGACATGGGTAGTTTTACCACCAACATGATTCAAGATAGTAGAAGTAGCCCCATACATTTGGCCATAGATACGATTGAAGTTGGGGTTGCTTCGCCAACAGGAGTACAAGGAGTGAGATTAGTCCGGTACGGCTGTAAACACATTAGTCAATGAGATGATTGAGTTTCTCACGCAGCTAATGTGGTCTTCCAAGGTAGTCATCTATAACCTTCACCTATAATACGCTTCCGATTTCCATTATCGCGGCCACATGTGCCGCAAATATCTGCCGCGTCATTTGAATTTCGCACAGCTGGTTTACTTTAACATTACAATTTTTGCTGTATAGCAGGGAACTATCATTGCTGTAGGTTATTCTTTTCCAGCTGCAAGACCTGCAAGCACGACACAAAGTACGGCAGATAGCATCATCGTGAATGCAAAGTAGAAGAGAGCCCAGAGGGATACGAATGGCAGGTATTTAGCATAACAAAGATGTGATGAAGGGATGGCAAAGGAACTGGTTTGAGTACAATGCTCGAGGGCGATAAAAGTTGCAGCAATCAAAGCAAAATCAATGTACGTCCAGTCTTCATCGATCTGGCATCAGACAGCATCTTTGCACGACGGTTTGCCTACCTGCTATCTAGCATCCGTAGTAGCACTACTAATTGAGGTTTCAATATTCAAAGAAAAACGCTGTGTACAGTAGTAGTCTGGACAAATTAGGTATAATACCGTATAAACACGCTTACAACAGTCGCATCATAACCAAGGGCAAATTGGGTTGAATTAGCGAATGGCTTTACAACAGCAGCAGGAGTAAGAGGGCTATTACCAGCTACATTGGGTTCACTCTGATGAGCAAGGCGCCCAGGCAAGTTGGCAATACGTGAAGCGAGGCTCATATCGATCTATAATTATAGGCCCGTCAAGTGTGAATTCGTAGCATACAGAAATTAGCAAACATGTCACCTGACGTGCAAATTATGTTGTATTTGCCTCGAGTAAATCAAAACTAGAGGAAGGTGCTAGCTAACATATGTCCGTGGTATGTTTACCCAGAACTGATGCGGTTGCACACAGCGGACCGCGCCAGCCACGCTAGGGCTGGCGCAGCCCCCTATATATCCCCAGCAGGATAGATGAGGCAGACTTATACCAATTGATGCACAACCATCCACACGTGCCCCGTGCCCAGTCTCGCGATATCCTTATCAAGAACAGTTGGCGAGATTTTCACCCTTGCGAGGTGTACACCCATTGCCATTGGGGGGACATGGCTACAGCACATTTAGTTCATAGTTTAGATTGCAAGTTGATAAATCGGCTTACATGTTCTGGTGCGCAGGGTATCCACGGGCTCTCAGAATTATGCCTATATCGACCGTCTTGCTGAGTATGTTCGGAGCAACCCTGACTACTGCATATCTGTTTTCCGTTAATGATTTATTCTCCAAGGTAAAAACTTTTCCATACCATTCTGATTTTGAAATCATTGTTTTCGAAACCAGTCTGTCCAACTGCGAGAGTGACAAACAAGGCGGAAAGTGCAATAGATAGTCTCATCTTTTTTTAAAAAAATTCAGAAGAACAGAGTCTGGAGGTATGAGTGCGAATTTTTCCCCACAAAGATATGATGTCGGAATGTAGACTACGGAGTAGATTCGAGTGAGATTATCCTAGGTGTTGGAGATGATGGAATCCACCGTGCACGCGAAGCAGAGTGAATATATAGTCTAACGGGGCCACTTTAACGGGGCGGGAATAGGAGACATTACAGCTCAATGACTCGTGTATTGTCTGGGCCACTATATTAGGTCCGTCTGATCATATATGTAGAATGAAGACGTTCATCGTTGGCTCTTGGCTGATTGCCTTGGCAACACCAGGAATGAGTTCTGGCTGACTTCTATACGTTCTATTTCTCAAGAACAGGACCCGCTTGCACACCATCGCGAGAAGGTATCACAGTTATAGTGATTGTACTGGCATGACCATGACACACTTAGTTTCCAAATGTATTTCCACCAGTAACAAAAAGCAACTGAGGCGATTATTTGTGCAGGGGTACCGGTACTGTAATGTTCAATTGAATCTAGATTTCGTATCTGTTTTGCCTTGGGCCAACTGTATGATCTACACATCCCCACTTTTCTCACTGTCTAAACTGCAGGTCTGCTTTTCAGTTGATGAGTACCATAGGCACTTTGTGCTTTGGGGTATGAAAACTTCCCTACTATTCCCCTCCAACATTGGCCACTGCAGTGCCCACAAACAAGGCGAAAAAATGCGATTTATAGGTTCGGATAGGTCAAGGGCGGGACAAAATATTATACTAGTCCAAGCACGATTATCGGCGGTATTCGATGCGCAAGCAGACATCGAAAAATGTTTGACCTTGCCTAGTCAAATCAGGCAAGGATAGAGTTCCCCACGCCCCAAAACTAGGGCACAGTCTGAAGTACCGTAGTAGGTAGACTTGATTGTTTATCTATCCGAGCTTTCCACCATTCGTGCTTGGTATCTTGGTAAACATAAAGAAACGCCGTAGATATTACTATTATTCCTTTGTGAAGGTGTGTACAGTACCGGTACGTACGCGCGGCAAATATTGCAGTACCTTGGCACAATCAGATTGCATCATGTGTCCTTCATAGCGTCCGTATTACAGCCGACTCACTTTCGGATTGACCAATTCCCAGTGTCGGTAAATCCTGTGAAGCGGCAACCGGAGACGGTCGGGAGAGCCGGGTTAGTGGGCTGGTTTGAGGTCGATTCAAATGGCAATTGTGGCGATCTGCTCCTTTGTCGTAGATTGATCAGCGCATACATTGTATACCGTAGGTATTTGGGCCCGTGCTTGAGGGAGGTTTGCTCCCAGCGTCAAGGATTTCGCTCCTGTACAGGAAAGTAGAGCGATCAACCTCCTACGAAAAACGTAGCAGTGTGCATTTTTTGCTGCTAGAAAACTGCATGCTCGACAGCCAAAGGAAAACCGATTTTTCTAACCTCGGCGGACCCACAGGTTTACACTTGATAAAAGTCATTGTGAGCACCTGGGACCATGCAGAGCTCATATAAGACTGCTGGCTATGTATATAAAATGATAAGTGATCGAAACAAGAGCATCTTTCTTGGAATTTTTGCGATACACATCTCATTATTTCTCTTATCTTACAAGGCCCTGTTTGTGAAGGTCCCTACTCCTACAGTTGTTCAAATTCAGGGCACAATCGTACTTGCGCGAGTTGTATTATCATCTGTGCAGTAGGCAGATACGTATAACCCAATATTCACAGAGCGAGCAGAAGGACAGACTTTGGTAAATGATAGTAAACCAGTATCTTGCAAGCCAATAAATCAGTGAGCGAACAAGTACCAACATCGTTCCCTTCCATCACCCTTCCGTACTTCACTTTTAGAGAATACCACACCATACCAGTCCACACCATGTCCTACCCAGCCAATCCGACACCACGGCGAAACATTTCTCGAAACCAAGTCATCCTACGTCCGTGCAACATACATCGTACTCTCTCTGCATACTCGTAACCCAGCTTACCTCCCGCTTCCCAATCCCAAGTAAAACACACGAATCCGTGCCGCCTTGGCGCAGCGTGCATGAAGCTACCAGCACATATGTCGAATCTTTCGGTCAGGTTCCAATAAAAAGGCTCCTTCTTAGCGATTCGAGACACACATAATCTTTTCCCCGTTTCGTTGGCTCGCTAACACAGCTCAGCCCGACGGATTGGCTATGAGAAAAGGTACGAGGTGAGAGTGTACATGCAGTGTGATCACACGGGGGGAGACGGCAGAGCTAAGTTGATTTGGGAGACGTGTAGTTGGTTTTAGTCCTGTTGCACGCTGATTCGCTGGCAATCTGGAGGTCCTCAAGTAGAAAGATAAAGGTGGAGTATGTAGACGCCATGTTCAACCATTCGATTCGTAGAGAATGAGTTGAATGTGCCACAGACGACTCCTCTCTCCTTAAAGTAGTGCAAAACCGCCGGTTACTTCCCCTAACCGAGTGGAAAAGTGCATCAAAGAAACATATCCTATGCCAAGTCGTGGACGGGAAAACAGTCCAAGGAGTTGGGAATTGCTAGTTCATCAAGACAGCTCAGTGGTTCTTCTGCTGGCTAGAAGTGTTGGGTACCCAACTGATCGGTAGGTTCAGTCAGTCTAACTACCCGTCCAGAGCGGAGGTGGAGCCTGGATGCGGTTACGGTGAATAGCCTATCCCGACTAGGCTGGCGGCGGGAAGAAATGACCGACGGCGCGTCACCGTTCACTGCCGGAACTTCTAGATCGGATCTTAGGTGCATTGACCCAGGTGCCACACTCGGACATGGTTCGATGAGAAGATGGGTCTAATTCGAAGAGAACTCGGGGGTTGTGTGAGGCAACGAGTGGAGAGGGAGTATGCCATCTGGTTTTGACAAATCATCATGTTAGCTTATACTATCAAGGCCGTCGAAGTAACCCATTCTCACAAGTAGTCTGAAGGCGGCAGATGAGGCCACCAAACTAAGACTCCGCATTACACACTTGCGGCCCGCTCCTTACGGGTCTGTAGATGAAGACCTTGGAGGCCGCCTAACTATACCTCAAGGCCCCTAGCGTCTCTTCATCGAGTGATACATTATAATCTCTTCTCCTAGTGTAGCTTGAGGACAGTGAGTGTGCGGGGTCGTTATCGAACGTCTCCAGCACCACTAGGCATAAGGTTACTCCCACTCCCGCAACTGACTGCGGGTGTTTGCAAGCAGGCCTATGCGCCTGCACAGAATGCCTGTGAATGACAGACGTAGGCTTGCGACATGGTGGCGGCCACGTTTACCGTCGATTTAGGCGAAGTACAAAGCGATTTGTGGACAAGTCCACACATACTTACACGTAGCCTGCTCTCCAGCGCTTCAGCTTCAATCGTACGCTAGAGATGACGGAGAATCGCACAAACGGGTAAGGCAATATTTGTCAAAGTGGTGAGATGGAAGTGGCCAATCAGTCTCGAAGCGTTGCCCCATGACACTGTATGACCCTATGTGCTGGCGGGTGTCTGAATCAGATTATGTTGTAATGGTGATAAGATAGTGTTGTGCTAAAGTCTCCTCAGACGGCGCATCCGAGGTGGACGAGGCTTTGTCCAAGAGACCACAAAGGCGTAGAAAGTAGATTGCAGAGAAGCCTGGTCTGTGAGGCGTACTGTGTTGCAAGCCTGGTCCTGATTGGTCGTGACATCTGTCAGTCATGTGTACTCGGAAAGACTCGCACAATGTAACCTGTCAACTGTCAAAACCGCACAAGTTACCCATTCTTGTAGTACCTATGTTTTCTGCCATCAAATCCGGTTTCCTTGAGACGAGCAAAGTCAATGCACTGCCGGTATATGTGATGCAACAAATTGTGGACTGGTGATGAACCAACCAATCTTGGATTTACCACATGGAGATGGCGTGGTGTAGCATGGCTCGCTTGACCTGGCATTTGGGCTGAGCTATCGTCGGGCACTAAGTAGACTAGCCTCACTGTTAGTAGGAGAGCAGTAGTCCCCAAGGTCGAGGCCTTTTCACCATTTGGAACACTCTGCGTACTCTTCAATACACTTCCAGGCTGTGGTACAGGTACCGGTACAAGAGGGGGCGGGCCGTGTCCTTGTCCTATGATCCGATCTTCGACACTTCGACGCAATGCCTTCAAAATGATGCACCGAGCCGTCCTGAAATCATGGTAAGAGTACGATCGTGAGGTTGTGAAGCCTCTGTCCGCATATTTTCACAGCTACCTGCGGAGAAGAACATGTAGTTCGCCTGTGAAATTGGCTTGTCCAACCATGCCATCAGCGCCACAAAGCTTGAATGCGTCACAGCAGCCATCAGCATATGTCTGATGCGTGAACACAACATGGCTGCCCTCGATGGTTAACGGACCTCAACAACACTGCTGTGAGAAGTTTGTGCGTGGTGTATTGGCGACTTTAGCGGCAACATGTCGTTCCTGAGAATGTGCTTGGGACAGACTGCCCTTGTCGGGCAATAGGATGAGATCCCTGCCACATTCGCGAATGTTCCTATGTGCACCCTAGAGTCTTGAATCAGCATTCATATTGGCTGACAGAAATTGCCGAGAGATTGCAAGGAGCCCTATGGTCGTGCAATACAGGTCTGACAGGACCAGTACTCCTGTAACAATGGTAGTTGTCTGAAAGCGGCCGACAGTGTACACGACTGAGTATCACTCGTTCGACAAGAGTCAAGTAGGGCTTGAATTGTCGTACGCATTTTCGGGGCGAGTAGCTATCCCGATTACTTCGTGGAAGTGATTAGATTGGCTCGCTTGTCAATTTGCGACTATTGCTGGGACTTGTAGAAACATTCTCTTTTAGAATATGCAAAATGCGGAGCAACAGGGGACAGCATCTGCAGTACTGATTAATATGCCTGCAATCAATCGTACTCAAGAATGAGGCTGAATAGATCAGCCTCAACATGCTGAGTTTGCAATTCGGCACCCGTTCTCATGCGAATACCTTTGCAATGAATCACTACGAGCGTGTCCAGAAGCCACTTCAAAATAGTGATTAAGCGTTTGCAAGATGGGAGTAGTGTACCGGCAAGCAGCACCAGAGCTGACGTCTAAAAGCAAAGTAGTCTCATACTGATACAGTGGCCGGAACCTGTTTTCATTTACTGCTCTTTTTTTATACGTTAGAAACTTCTAGGAATGTAGGACTTGGGATGTAGACAAAAACCATTCCCCTACAGCCAGGCTAGAGAAAACGCACTCGATCAATGACGACTCAATTTAAGGCAGTCTATTAGCCGATCCTACGCTAAATCCACTCACATGCTGATAAAAAAAACAATACCCAGCGACAACAGCATTGGACAGAACCGGCTGGAAACCAATAGCAAAAGTCGGCGTCTGCAACAACCTGGCGCGGACTCATACGCCTCCAATACATGTTCCACGCTGGAGTATCAGGTTCGCCGACGAACAAGCTCAGGAGTATAGGAACAGTTCCGGACTCGAACAACTCGGGTGCAGCTGTGTGTCAGTTGCATCAATACTTGAGCCGAGACCTAGGGAGCACTCGCCACTCGAGTGATAGTGACGCGTTTGCAACTAAACGTGTGCAAAGCCCCTGACCGCTCTGGGCCCTGAAACACCTACCGTACTCTCTGCCAGGGCTCGTGTAGCCCAGCGGAAGCGGGTTGAATGAGGGTATGTGATTTAGTCGATAGCCACGGTACTTGGCCGCTCTCCGTCAAGGCTCCATGCAGTAATGGCCTGCACTGTCATAGGCGAGGTGGTGTATTTAGTTCAGCAACATATCCCAATCATGGAAAAAAGTATGTATGATTGTAAAGTCGACCCTCCTCTGACCGGACGGCAGAGTGAGTTGTTCGAATCTCCCACCGCCGGCCACGCGCAGTGACAGCGGCTGCGAAAGTGGGTATGCGTCGGCCCCGCATACATATGTCCATAGGCCAGGTTCGTGAGATCGTGATTCCAGAACTGTCTTGAAGCAGCCACTCATCAAGCAGTGATCACGGGTCCCGACAGCTTGCGCTGCAGCTTGGCCTTTGTCTCCTTTGCCTGGTCTGTACTGAGACAAAAACACCGCTTTCCTGCGCAAGACGACCGACAAGCGGTCAAAAAACGCAGCTTTGCGGGATTGAATCAGTCTTCTTTGTTGACGATCTTCCGGTCAGGCAGTTGCTAGACATACGCTCATTGTCGAAAGCCTAGTCTCACAAATAGGTGATGAGGCTTGCAGCGAGATGTGTCTAGTCAATCCCGTGCTGGATATCGTCTGTCAGGATTGGTTGTCAGTTGCTTCAGGATAGTCTGTGGGGGAGTACATTCATTTTCTTTGCATTTCAGGGGACATGGCTGTCGACGGTGCGGCAAACGCTCAGTAGCAGCTGTAGGAACACGCATGTCTACACCGACAATGCGAATTGTAGAGTTCTACCCCTGCTTTGAGCGGCAGTGCAGGCGTCCATGTTTCGCACAAGAAAGATCCACGTTTGCAATGTTGGCCCAAAAGGCTCGTGCGGTGGTGGTACATCCATCGGCTGTCTGCATCACAAGGTACCAAATCGCTTCTTGTCCCTATTCCATAACGGAGCATGACAGGCGGTCCCTGTCTCCTAAACTGGATCGAACGAGGCTGTTGGGTACGAAAACGGTCGCAACGAGTTTGGTGGTTGTAGAAGATCGATACTAGGGGGACGCTTCCATCGTTATCAGAACCACCTTGCCTGTTGACACTCATTCAGGGTGACAAGAAAACCGTCCAGCTTACTATATAATCTGGAAGGAACAAAAGGACTTGTCCACTGCTCTCAGTGACCTTGTGTCGAGACGCAAGTTGGGAAGACGCATCATTGCGACCAATACGCACGGTTATCCGTTGATTGGCGATGTTTTGATACATACCCAACTTGAAAAGCATCAGGACAGGGGTCATACAAAAGAAGTCCTTGTTCGAATGCAGGGTTCACAGCGATTGACTGTTTGACACCGTGCGACGCAGTTCCCTCGACCTCTTCCATCTACCACCGCATTGTTCACTGCCTAGCACTTGGATGTATTAGGCATCGTTTGGCCCAATCACAGACTCTGCCGTCTCGCAACATATCAAGCCACTTAGTGTGCGTGCTGAAACCCCATCTATCCACTTGCACACCGGACCAAGGCTGCATGACGCTCGGGCAAGCTTTGGCGACGCAAGTCGGCTGAGTGTGTGTGCTAGCGGGCCGAAGAAAGGGTACAGTATAGCCTCTTAAGCACAGCTGTAAACGGAACAAGTACCTTCGTTAGTATTTGCGGCGCGCTGATCGATCATATTCGACAGCACCGTCAACATCTCTCGACCATATACACTTCACACTGTATCCCCATTCTCTATCATCAGACTTCACCTGATAAGGCCATACTCGTGTCAATAACGTTCGTGGTTGTTGTTTCTGGTAGTCGTCGGCCTGCTGTGAGACCGCTGATCAGGCTCTGGACGTCTGAACTCACGATAGCCGAGCAAGTCTTCTCGTTGGACACTCCACAAGGCTCGCCTGGAAACTGCCACGGGACAGTGTCGTTTGTCCGGAAGTGACGTAGTCCTATTGAAGTACGGCCCAGCGCCGAGAATACATCTCCACAAAGCTGACGCCTCAAGCAGGTGTGTCGACTACAAATCTTCCTCTAACGTACGTACGTTGCCAAAATAGGAGCCCATTCAGCATGTACGCAAGTTGACGCAATTCTCAGATCCCATCTGATTTAGTGGAGTTGTTCGTCCGTTGGTATAGTTGGATGATCGTTGAGAGTGACCTTCTCGTCCTCGTGAGCACTGCGCAAACGCATCGACCATCAGCCTCCCGCTTCCAACCGCTGCCATCAAACCTTTGCCTATCTGGAGCGACTATAGTTCCACGACATTTACGTTTCATCATTCAACCTATTCTCTGCCTTCTCAAGCCCCCATCCTTGCCAGATACCGGTACGCCGCGACAGTTTTCGAAGTCAGAGCATCAGCCTTGCATACCTTGAAGTATCCATCTTTTGCTTGGAAAGATGAAGATATCATCTTTACTGAATCCGTTTTGTACCGACAGCTCTCTCCATGGTAGTCCCGAGCCACCAACACGACTATCTCGTCCGGTGGTCACCGCTGGCCTTTCAAGACGACAGAGAGTTCCGAAAGATGCTCCGGTCTTCACCGAGGGTAACAAGACTGTTGGACACGTCAACTTTCCTCCACATGAAGCTGGTTATGATCAGCATCTGAAGGACCAGCATCGTAGATTCCAAGTCTTTCCCGCGGGCCAGATTTCCAGGAAGGGTGTCCGGCACATCCCATACAATAGTGACAAGAAGGACTTTCTGGAAAAGACAGGCCGAGACGCTTTTGAGAGTAAGTCTGGTGTTCCCGGACCGTTCAACGTTGCTAACAGAATGACAGTGTTCCAGTACACGTACAAGCGGCCTAGCGACGACAAGGAGTACGTGGTGGTGTGGGATTACAATATTGGCCTCGTTCGTATGACGCCCTTCTTCAAGTCATGCAAGTATGCCAAGGTACGTTAGGCATATCCATGATGAAGACTCTGTCCCTCTGACCCGTACAGACGATACCGGCCAAGGCGTTGCGAGAGAATCCCGGCCTTAAGGATATCAGCTACAGCATAACAGGAGGTGCTCTAGTGTGTCAAGGTCAGCCAGTGATGTTATCTACAACAGATCAACATACTGACATGCTGCAGGTTACTGGTTCCCGTATGAAGCAGCGAAAGCAGTTGCTGCGACCTTCTGCTACGATATTCGTTGGGCGCTCACCCCAGTCTTCGGCGCCGACTTCCCTGACCTATGTATTCATCCCCACGACCCTCGGTACGCAAAGTTTATCATCGAGCCAGCCATAGTACGACACTGCACCAGGGAGACAAAGCGATTTCGAGAAGAAGGGCCTTCGTACCTTCTCGCCACGGAGGCTTCAAATTCTTACCATCCGAGAGATCGGATGGAGAGACGTGTGCGACCAACGGATATTGAGAGCGGATACGGGACTGATACAGATCGGAGCGACAAGTACTATTGCTCGCCCCAGGTGTCTCCTCGTAGTCAGTTCACTCCCATTAACAGGTCACTATCGCCAAGATCGCCATACCCAGCCGACTTTTTCACCGTAGCCTCACCAGTTCGTACACAATACCAACAAGGGACACTTGCCTGTACTTCAGTTCCCATCGAGTACGGTGAGGGGTCATTCCGGACGAAGCGAACCTTGTCCAAAGTAGCTTTCAGTGACAATTGTGATGACGATCAGCAGTCCCGCCCACCTACAGCCGCCACTGTTGATAGCTGCCACAGCGGGCGAACATCTGGAGGGTCCAGTAATGACGATGGCCACACCAACACTGACATGGATGCAGCTCAGATGCTGTTGTCACTCAGTACAGATAGTCACACGCAACCACCGATGAAACGAAGGCGTCGAGGATCGCATTTTTGAGTGCGTGTTGTTTCTTCAATGTCATGTCCTGTTGGAGGGTGCGCCAAGGTCGGCGATGCGTTTCTTCCCTTGTCGTCACATGACGTCTCGTAGCCTTTTGAGCGCTCATCGTCGGTATTTGTGGTCTTGCATACGGTTTGGATTCCTGTTGTGTGCGCGAGATCTTTAGTTCATTTGTGTTATTTTCACTCTGGTATCTCCACACCCTATGTAGAGCATGGCTCGTTGTTTTAGTGATGTTGCCCTTGCAAATGTAATTTAGGAAACATGAATAGTTATCCAATTTCACCGAGGTCATACAACACAAACTCCACGCATACCAGGCTCATTTTGAACCCGCCTTTGCCTGAGCCTTCATGGTCTCAACCCTCTTCATGAGGACCGCCACTGTGCTCTCTTCTTCCCAAATGTAAGTAACGCTATCCTGCTTCATGACCTCAGCAGCCCATTTTGAGAAGTTAGGCAGCGCATCAAAACCTGAAATGATAGACTGCGGAAGCCGGCCGTGCTTAGCCAAGGCGTAAATGCGCAGTATGAAGGGCGCGACGAGTGCCTAGAAGAGATTAGCACAGGACAGTTTTACAGTCGCAGCATTCGTACCTCAGCCAGCGTAATCTTATTGCTGCCTCCAAAGAAGGGCCCAGCACCCTTCAGCAAAGGCTCAATCTCCTTCGCCACAGTCTCGACAAACTCTCTCCCCAATCTTTCCTTCTCTTCCGCATTATCCTGCTTCAAAATCTGAATCCAATAGCTGCCGACCTTGGAAAACCAGGAGTCAACGAAGAAGTTGATACGCGCACGCTTCAGTGCTCCTTCAATTGAGCCAGCAGCAGGGAGAACATGTGAAGGATACGCATCAGCTAGGAATTGCACAACAATGCCAGACTCAGTGATGATCTCGCCGTTAAAGTCGATTGTGGGTACGAGACCGCGCTGGAAACAAGAAAGGTAGGGTTAGTATAACAAGCACCGAGATGATATTTTCACTGAATAACGTACAGGATTGATTTCAAGGTACCATGGCTCTCGCGGCTTGTCGAGTGCAATGATGACTTCGTCGTATTCAAGTCCAAGTTCCCTGAGCACGATGTGAGCGCGATGGGCCCACGGACAGCGATGATTGGTGTAGAGTGTGATTTTGGGAGCATTTTCGGCCATGATGTCGATATAACTGATCCGAGCTAGGGTCTCTGATGATGCCTAGAAGGGATGGGAAGATAGCGGGAAAGATAGAGGTCCTTGTACGGAGTAGAATTGAAGAACTTGCAATGACAATCGCGGAGAAGTGATGGAACGGGAGAATCAATGCAGTTTTAAAACAATGAGGGCCGATCGGGGTACGTTCCGTTCTCGGGTCGGTGATAGTTGGCTTGGTAAGCACGGACCGAATCCGCCCATGTGCTATACCGATAGCACAGGAGCATTTCTTACTGTTTCCACGAGTAAACTCCTGAAAAATGCTCTGAAAGCGCGCTGTACAACGCTGAAAACTCCATATCGCCCGGCCAAAGCTCGCTGCACAAAGTGCATATTGCAAAGAACCAAGCCTTGCAAGCGGTGTGCTCAGCTTATGACGCCGTCGCCTTCGACCTTCCATTCCATGGCATTCGCATCCGTCTTCTTCTTCGCTCTCCGCTTCTCATTGCGCAGACGGCGCTTCTCTTCTGCCTCTTGTTCCATCTTGTCCTTGTTCATGGCCAAACGTGTGTCGAGATCTGTAACCTCTAGGAATTTGTCTTCGTCTCTTTTCCGCTTGAGGTATCGTAGGCGGTCGCGCACTTCCTCGACGGTGGCACGTCTTACTTCGCCAGATTGACCTGTTGCAACCAAATGTTGCTTGCTGTTCAAATGCTCTACATATTGAATATTGTCCCTGGAAGCAGTTAGCGTAGCCCATAATCATCGTCTGTATCGTCGTAATCATCATTGCCATGGTCATCCAGCGAAAACTTACTTGAACGTAAGATCACACGCTTGACAGTATGCACCCGCACCACGTCCTCTCTTGCCTACAGCTGCAGCCGCTGACGTGAGCGTCTGTTTGCCAATCATTTTGCTCCAATCAATCCTCTCCGACCGTGCTTCCGTCTGCTTCAAGTCCTCGGGCGTCGACGCTCTCCGTCCATATGTTTTACCCTCCAGCTTGGCTTCATATCTCTCCTTTGCTTCTTCACGATCTTTGGCCTCTCTGTCCTTGGCCTTCTTGGCCATTTCTTCCCGGTCCCATGTCTTTCTGAAATCTGTATCTCCTCCACCTTTGCTCCCGTATGCGCCTGCTTTGCCGCTCATGGTGGGCAGTGGTTTGTGATTTTGCGCGCTGTGTGCGCAGTCCGTCGATGGAGGCCTGTGGTGAATCGCTTATAGTAGTGGACTCTATCTATAATATTTCACAGGGATTGTGAGGCGCGCAAGTGATTCAGGTGTTGAAATCGTCGTTAGAGGGGTTGATATTCGATCCAAGTCGCGTCCTTGGAAAGTTCACTGCCAAGAGAAGCACTGACCCTGGCTGGGCCACGACCATCTGCCATCAACCATGCAAGTGATGGTATGCCATGTTCAGTCATGCCTTATAAGCGCATACTAATTTATAAAGACTTTGAGAACTGTATTTGGTCGTTGAACAGTATTTCAGGTTCAAACTGGGAGACAATGAATTTAAATTTCTACTAAGAACAACGGGGTTTCTAATTCCTGAATACCTCGACAGCTGTTGTTGTCCCGTCGTTCAGCATCAAGACTTACATCTCCCGCGCAAGAAAGTTAAAATTAGCAAACTCCTCGCTATGCGCTGGTTGTGTGGATGAACCCAAACCATTCAATAACCATTATCAAATTGACCGAAAGAGCAAAAAGGAAGGCGCCGAGTATGCTGAAGATTGCCGTACCTACGTCGTTGGTAGTGTCGCGTCGTTACATCGGAAAGCGTGAACGTATCGGGTGCACGCATCTAGTACGGGTAGGCTCCAGGTGGTGGCGGCGCTTGATAGTTTGGAATCGGGGGTGTAGCTACTGGAGGCGGTACATGCATGACTCTATTGAGTGCCTGCACATCGGGCTGCACCGATCCTTCTCGGTCTCTCCTCTTCTTCTTCGTCTTTTTCTCGAGACCCATCAAGTAACCCCTGTCGGCGTAACCTGCAGCTGCGAAGGGAGGCTCAATGACTTCCCGCGATCGGCTATCCGGCAATCGAAGTTCCACAAGACTGTAGAAGTAGTCCAAAACCTCAGGATAGCGAAGGACGGATGCTCGCCAGTCGGCGTCTATGCCGCGTTTCAAGTCGGCATTTGCGTCTGCTATTTGCGCCTGCAGCTGTGACAAGTACATTGGGTGGATAGGCGGATGGCCAGAGTAGCGCATGTATATTTCGTAGTTGGGCAGAGAGGCGAGATAGGCGGCGTGCATTCCCTTACGGTTGGACGTCAGTCGCTCAAAGGCATTGAGAATGTGTTGACGGGCATGGTTGATAACCCAATCTCTACATCATGGTCAGCAGGGCGACATGGACGGTGTGTAGGAGAACATGGCCACATACCGGATCTCTGCCAGTCTATCTTCCATCATCCGCATCTCGGCTTGTTTGACGGCGATTTGTAGCCTGTCCGCCTCACAGGGACATTCTGGATAGGCAGGTGCATTGCAAATTGCGCAGTTGGGAGCTTCATCCATTTCCTAAGTACTGACTTCAGCATGCACCGTTGTTCATATCTATTTCCAAGGGGGTTGGAGGAGATGCTGCCGGGCGTGACCTGTTGCAGTTGAAGACGCGATACAAGACGAGGCCGATGAGGAGAGAAGGGTGGAGCAAGACTGGAGACGGTTGTTTATGCTCACTAGTTCAGGTACAGGCGGTGACAAATGAGAGGATACATGACGACCGTTGTGGAGTACAGGCAGCGGGGGACTGGCTAGCTTGGAGTAGCTTATGGGGTGTTGCTGCGTTATGAGCTGGCAGATCGCTAAAGCTACGGAGCTCTCGATCTCACCGTACGCCAAGCCGGGCGTGATCAACGCTGTGGAGAATCAAACGGAAAGCCATGGAGAGTTGTTTCATCCAGCCGTCGATAGCGACCGAATTCGTGCTGTCTGGCTGTCTGGCTGTCTGGCTGTCTGGCGGGAAGTTGTGGTGCCACGGTGGTGATGTGTCGTGCCCTGCCAGCCCTATGGTTGTCTGCAAGCTTCTACTACTACCTGTACCCCGCGCTTCGCCGACAGCCTTGCGCAATCAGTCAAGACTTGTCTGGACCGCCTGGGCCGGAGCGGGTTTACTTTGATATGGGTAGTACTCGATAGTACTTAACTGTGTAACACCTCTTCTAGGATCCCCTGCAACTACCGGCACCGGAAGAAAGTCTGGGCAGAGATATTGGAGAGCGACATGTGAGCGAGATGGTGACGACGATTCGTCTGGTGATGCTCGTCCAACTACATGATAGACTGTTTACAGATTAGGCTCTGGGGTTTGTTGTTTATTGGGATAGGTAGTAAAAGGCAGGGCGCATCGTGAGGCCATCGGTGGGGGAATGGTCATGCGGTAGAAAGCCCTAGGTTTAACCTTGAAGCCTCCCTAGGTACCGGTACATAGATGCCAGTAACCAATGTAGCAAACATGCCGGAGAGGAAGAGAGTCATTTGGTCACAATCGATGCATGCTTCTGTACGGTGTAGGTAGTCACTAGTCCTTGTACTGTGGTAGAGGGGAGTATGGCTGCAGTCACAAATGCACGTGACCTGGACAGCTCCTCTAGGCCGCCCAGTGAAACAGCCTTCGGCTCTGACGTCACATGCACATGCAATTCACAACACAGTAGAGTAGAGTAACTTTCTCCTTCTGCGTCTGACCGTGAAACAGCACAGCACATGCCGAATATCGGACGGGACATGCCATCTTCATCTTCGCCAAGGCCTGTCCTGCATTGGTGTCCAGAGATCCGAACACGACAGGCACGTGACGAACGACATGCACGTGATGATGGAGACTGCAAACCCCCACACCACACCCCCCACGTCAACTCGGCCCAAAAGCCGACGCGAGATGCACACACCGCACCTCTTCTACAGAACGATGGCAGTTCTAAAGAACTGTGTTGTATGTGCTGGGTGTGTCTATCATCTTTCCTCTTCACCGTGGTGGCTTCGTGATCAACGCTGATGTTCCTCAGCCAGCTATACCTCATGCAACCTTGGAGTGGCCCATGGAAGTCTAGACTCGAGGCATCTAGCTCCGATACCTCTAGATACTGTACCATGCGCCCAAGTGCTGTTCTGTAAATGCGATTCGTGGTTGAGGGTAATATTTCAGCTGGAGCTGTGTATGCCATGATGCAGATCATCGGCGAGACACCACATGGAATCATCCCACACGCCATGACGAAGCTTTTGACATGACTCTTTATTCTTCCGACTGCGGCTGTTATAGAGACGGCTGCCGTCATTCACCACTCGATAGAAAGCTTGCCATGGCCCAGTGTAGCAGCTGATGCTTATTCAGCGGTATCGAGGTATTGATTGGTCTCATATCGGATAATAAGCAGAGCGGTTGAGAAGACCGTGCACATGCGCGCCCTTTGAAAGCCCATATTTGCCTAGCGGATGTCAATGTTTGACTCCACGCTGACTCTTGGCCATGTCCGATCTAGGTGGTATCGACTTTATGGATTCTTCTAAAGAGCGCTGCGCCTTATGGCCATTCTGCGTTCTTACAACATCGTGTCGGAGGGCGTGCACTTGTTCTTCACTATTGCAGTCAGACAGTTGACACCCAATCATTGGGCAACCCGGGTCCAGTCTTGCTCGTCGCCATGACTACTCCCAATCGGGGCTCCGATATGGCCGACTTCTTCGACTTTGGGGAGGCAGCCATGCTGGAATCGCAAGAAAACACGATTTTAGATTTTTCAAATTTACCAAACGAGGAGAGGCAAGTGAATCTTACATATCGACATGTTTGTTGGTCTTGGAAGCTAGATCGTCCATTACCTATCGATGAGGCTACGCGGAATCACAGTTCGAGCATGGGCTAACAGTACCAAGCCATGCTTCCAACGACAGCACTGGAGAACCTTCCCAACTTACCGTGACACCTACCAAGAGTGCAGAATTCAACACAGACTTTTCCAGTTGGTTGCCTCGATACCAAAAACCTGTTCAGCCTTGTGAATACTGTCGATCAAAATCCCTCGAATGCTTCATCTACAACTCCGGACAAGAACAGTCGAAATGCTGCTCGCCATGCAACGCTTTGTTCCGCCCATGCAGCTTCAGCAACCCTGACAAGACACAAGTCTCAATGCGAGGGACTGCTCTGGATACACTAGACGTTGTGACAGAGAACGATGCTCACCAATACGGAGGGCTTACTGGACGTAAGCAACTGCGAAGCCTAGGTCACGTAGGTCCCATCGAAGACGAAAATGAAGGAGAGCAAGGCTCCAAGAAAGGAGCCGCTGCTACCAGGTTTCCGCGAGCGGCCACGAAGATCTTGAAGGATTGGATGATTGCTCATATTGACCACCCCTACCCAACCGAAGAAGAGAAGGAAGCCCTGATGCAGCAGACCGGCCTCTCACTGGGCCAAGTATCGAATTGGATGGCGAACACGCGCCGTAGATACAAGTCCAGACCGAAGCGAAATTCATCACCAAGTATTCGTCCATCCACAGCAGTCATCAATATTCCAGCAGGGAGGACATGGGAGTCTCTGAGTAAGTATAGCGATCCTCAATTTACCAGATCCCACAAGACTCTGGCAGCCGCAACAGCTGGAAAGTTTTTGAGATTCTGCGTATGCGATAAGAGTCTAAACGTGGGATGCGTAGCCTCGGCGGTGGCTATTGTAGCAGTCCATACGGCACCTTTACAGCATCAGAACGTCCTCGGTTAACTCGCAACAGATCCTTTTGAACGATGGAAGCACTCTCCCCCTGAGAACGAACCGGCGCCCTTGACAGCCATTGCCCAGGCCGTCGAAACTTTTGATCCACCAGAATCCGCCAGTCTAAGCAGTAGCTATCACAAAGACACGTCAAACCACAGTACGGGCAGTTTCTCCATATTCAAGGCACCTTCCATCTCGTCTCTCGAAACTGGTTTCACAAACATGTCGTCTGGCTCACTTGGATCTCATAATTCTGCCTACTCGTACGGTTCCCGGCATTCACTTGGTTCCATGACCAGCCTGAAATCGAAGGAACGACGTCGGCGACGCCGCCTCCCAACACGACCGCCAAAGGCAGATGCTAGTGCTGGCCCACGACTTTTTCAGTGCACTTTCTGCACCGATCAATTCAAGTCCAAGTATGACTGGTAAGTACCGTTCTTTCTTAACATGACATGACTACTCCTCTCGCCAGATAACGCAAAGCGAGCCCAGCTAAGTCTACCAGGTCTCGTCACGAGAAAAGCCTGCACCTATCGCTTGAGAAGTGGCTGTGTGCACCCATTGGCGAGATCGTAGCCGACAAGACCACGGGCAAGCCGAGATGTGTCTACTGCGACGAGCTTGATCCGAGCAAAGAGCACTTGTCTACTCATAACCACGTCGCTTGCTACGAAAAAGGCCCCGAGTCTCGAACGTTTTACCGCAAGGATCATCTGAGGCAGCATCTGCGGTTGATGCACGGCTGCAAGATGATACCCAGTATGGATTCCTGGAAATCCGAGGCCCAGTACATCAAGTCTCGATGTGGGTTCTGTGGCATGACGTTTGAGAAATGGCAGGAGCGCGTCGATCATCTGGCGAAGGAGTTCCGCAGTGGAGCGGACATGAAGAATTGGAAGGGGTGCCGTGGTTTGGATCCTCATGTTGCCATGCATGTTACCAATGCGATGCCCCCATATCTCATTGGCAATGAGAAGTTGTCGCCCTTTCCTTTTTGTGCCAGCAACTCTGCAAGCTTACAGGTATGTTTCCCCAAGTAATAGCGGATCACCGTGAAGAGTCCGGCTCACTGACCCAACACAGCAAGCGAACATTCTGCACGACGGCAACGATCTAGAAAACCTGCTCGCGAATTCGAATGGCAATAGCCCAACAAGCGATCTATCCGCGGCTTATCAAAAAGATGCAAATCCCTCCACAATCGGGCCCATGCTCCTCACCACACCAAAAGACTACACCACCTCCTCAAAGCCCACCGCACAACCCAACGCAACATGCTGGGAGATTCTCACCCTTCGCCTGGGAAAGTTCACACGCGAATACATGGCACAACACGGCGCGGCCTCCATGACCGACGCCCTTCTACAGCGCGAAGCCCGCAACATCCTCTACAGCGACCCCGACGACACCTGGAACCAAACCTCAGCCGACAACCCGGAATGGCTCGCCCTGTTCAAGCGTGCCCACGGCCTCGACACCTCGACTCCCGCCTCGCACCTCCCTCTCCCCTCGTCCCCACACACCATCTACGAAGATCTCGGCCTCCACGCAAACACAACCCTGGACCCCAGCTTCAACATGCACAACTTCCCCACCTTTGCAGCTGCAACGACGACATCCACAACCGCACAGGACCGCGCTGCAATCTTCCAGTGCACACTCACAGGCTCAACCCGCTTCGGCCCTCCCCACTCATCAACACTTCCACCCTCCACCTCCACCTCCACCTCCATCTCCCCTCCTTGCCTCCAAAACCTCCAATCCCCATACACCAAACCCCCCCTATCCCTCTTCGACCCCATCTCCGAACTCGCCTGCGCCGGCCCAAACGGCCCTTGTTTCGGCGAAAACGGGGAGCCAGGCTTCTCCACCAGAATTGCGGGCTCTTCTCATCCCCGCCATACGAAGCGCTACTGGCTCGATGGTGCGCCGGGTGCGCAGGTACATGATGTGCTGGATCTGCAGATGCAGAGTGCGGTGGAGGCGGTGACGCAGGATGCGGGTTGTATGGATGTGCAGGGTGGGTTTGAGGGTTTGCCTTGGGAGGCTGATTTGCTTGGATTTGGGGTGGAGGGTCAGGGGGAGGGATTGGACGGGTTGGGGACGGGGGGGAAAGGAGATGGGGATGGTGGTGTAGATGTACATGTCCATGTAGGTGTAGGTGTAGATGGATCGGGGAGTACAGCGCAGGGATGGGACGATGGCGAGTTTGGATTCACAATGGATTTGGATGGGGAGTTTGATTTTGGCGGGTTAGGGGGGTTGGTGGGTTGAGATGGAGTGAGTTGGTCGATGATGTGTTGGTCGAATTCGACACGCCTTCTGCCTTGCCCCTTTTTTTTAGGAGGAAAAAAATAGTCACAACGATAAACGCTCGACTTGGACATATGACACGATAATACGGATGCAGATTTCCACTATTCACCCGTGGATTGCATCCATCATACATTACGCTGCACAAAGGATATCCTTCCAAATCCTTTGTATCTTATATACATCTATCCCATCCCTGCTGTTTTGGCTTCTGGGATTCAAATCGGGTGTTCATGTATCAAGAAAGGTTGAAGAAGATGGGTGCCAGAGAAGGGGTGGTGGGAATATAGTCATATAGTCATATACATATACATATATACACCCTCCACTCCACGCACACACGCTTGATTTTTCCCATCCCCATCCACCTACACCCCCCCAACCCTCTGCACCAAAATCCCCGTCGCCGCCCCACCACCATTACATATCGCCGCCACCCCAAACTCCCCAACCTTCAGCTGATGCAGCAGCGTCACAAGGATCCGACTACCCGAGCTACCAAGCGCATGGCCAAGCGCAATAGCGCCACCGCGCGGGTTCACGTTTGCGGCGTCGAGATGGAGGAGCTTGGCGTTTGCTTTGATGACGGCGGCGAAGGCTTCGTTGAATTCCCAGATTGCGATGTCGGAGGTTGAGAGGGCGGATTGGTGGAGGAGTTTTTGGACGCAGGATGTTGGGGCGATGGGGAAGTCTATGGGGTCTGTTGAGGGGGTTAGTTAGTGGTCTGGTGTGGTGTGTAGTTGGGGGAGAAGGGGAGACGTACCGACAGCGGCATCGGCGTAGGTGATTATTTTGGCGAGGACGCGGCTGTCCTTTGCGCATTTTTGAGCGATTTCCTTGCTGCCGAGGACGAGTGCTGAGGCGCCGTCGCTGAGCGGGGAGGCATTTGCCGCCGTCACCGTGCCGTCTGGGCCCTTTTCAAACGAGGGTTTGAGGGTGGAGATTTTGTCGATTCGGAGCTTGGTGTACTGTTCGTCCTCTGAGATGATCGTGTCGCCCTTTTTCGATTGGACGGTGACGGGGACGATTTCGTCCTTGAACAGGCCGTCCTTGTAGGCCTGCTGGGCGCGGCGGTAGGTCTCAATGGCGTAGTCGTCTTGGTCTTTGCGCGTGATGCCGTGGTCCTTGGCTGTCTTTTCTGCGCAGTTGCCCATGTGGATCTGGTTGTATACGTCGGTCAGGCCGTCTGCGATAAGGCCGTCCTGCAACTTCTGGTGGCCAAAGGCTGGCTGTTGGCTCGCGCGGTTGAGGTAGTAGGGCACCCGGGTCATGTTCTCCATGCCACCAGCGACCATTGCCTCTGCTTGTCCCAGCTCGATGGTCTGAGCAGCCAGGTTGACGGCCTTGAGTCCGGAGGCGCAGACTTTGTTAATGGTCGTGGCTTCAATGTTGGTGGGCAGGCCGGCGAAGATGGCGGCTTGTCGTGCTGGGGCTTGTCCAACACCGGCAGCGAGGACGTTGCCCATGTAGACAGAGTCTATTGAGGAGATGGGCACCTTGGACTTTTCGAGGGCGGATTTGATAGCTGTGGCGCCCAGTTGGGTGGCGGACACGGTTGTGAAGTTGCCATTGAACTGCCATGCTGTTAGACTTCGCTTGTAAGTTTGTAGACTCTCCTATCCGCATGACACTGTTCACAAATACTACAACTACTCCTCACATACCACTGCAGTTGGCGTCCGACTGGCACTAATGATGTATGCATCTCGAATCTCCTTGCTTTGCCGTGCAGAGCTGCTGAACTGTCTCTGGATGCTGGCCAGGCGTTGCTGCGGCCGTGAAGCCATTCTGGCGGTTGAACGAAGCGCAGCCGACATGACGAAATGCTGGAGAATGGTCAATAGTTGGCGTGTCGAATGCTAAACGCCACGTAAAGAAGAGTTCAAAGAAACAAAGTCAACAATGATTGTCACATGCGGTCTTGTTTCCGCTGACGCAAATGCGGGCGGAATGTGGAGAGGCGAGCAACAAGACTGCAGCTTTGTACCGAGGTCGACCGGCCTCGACCGGCTTAAAGACTGCATTGCAGCGCTGCTCTGCTCAAACCACCAATGTCAATCGCGTTCTGGATGACCATGCTAATCTTCAAGTCCGAATATGGGCATTTGGAAATGTTGCTGTAGACTTGACGCGTGGTTTTGAGTGACATGCTCTTTCGCCACTTAAGGCTGACCATGTTTGCCCCGCCCCAGGGGCCGCCTTGTGGCCACGTGAGGCTGTCATGTAGGATCTGGACAGCGGCATTATTGCCTGGTGTACTATTGTCGTGGAATTCCCGTTGTCAATCTGACTATTACAGTATGTGATGAACCGACATGGAGGCGCAGTGAACACAGTCACTCACCCGTCTTGACAGGTGACGGGAGCACCACGAACGTCGTAGCGACACCCGTCTGACAGAGTATAGATAGCCCCATCCGCTTTCTAGCACAAACATATTGACGGCGTACCTGCTCCAGCCTTTGGTTGTCCCAAGTCGTGCAAAAGGCCAGCGTTTCTGGGCCTCGACTAACGAAAATGTACCTGCGTGAAATGGCTTGGTAGCACAGTTTGCTCAACCTTTGTGGCTTGCTGTGCGACGCTCTTCGCACCCATTCACCCTTGGCTCGTTCCCGGCAAAAGCCTGACCACGACAAGCTCCATGTCCATCACATTGTCCGTGGCTGTGGATTGGCAGGCGGTCACGCGTACCAATGCCGTTACTACTTCTCATAGGGAGAGCACCGCCTTAGTCCAGGCATCGTGAGCGCACAAAGGGCAGTTTTCAATATCCCTTCGCTCGGGCTTCTGGGACGAGTACACAAGCCGCCAGGCATCATGGCTGGCCACAAGGGGGCGCCCTCGCTTTGTATAAAAAGGTTAGCAAGTCGTAGCATTGTTATGGCAAGCTCAAGCATTTCGTATTGCTTCTGCCACCCATAATCTTGCACCATCGCCACTTTTACCCCTTCCTGCAGTGCTCGGTCTCAACGTCTCAACCCCGTCAACATGTACTTTTCCACCCTCGTTGCCACAATGGCCTTGGCAGCTAGCACAGCGCTCGCAGGCACATCGTACGTGCACAACAAGTGTGGCTATGACGTCTATGTCACTTCCGTCGGTGCAACCCCGGGTCCAACGACGAAACTCGAGAACGCGACGTACTGGAGCGAGCAGCAGTATCTCGAAGACGTCGGGACCGCCATCAAGATCACGACCGAGGCCAATGGACTGTACGAGGCCAAGCCCGTGCTGCACTTTTCCTACACGTATAACGAGGGCGTCAGCATTTACTACGACCTCAGCACGATTCATGGATACGACTTTGCGGGCAAGAAACTCCGTCTGCATGGGCCGGATGATCAAAAGGTCGAGGAGATTGTGTGGGACGGAGAGCCCAAGCCCAATCATACTGCGGTTTACTTTGGCGATACTAGCTTGTACCTTGAGCTTTGCGACTAGTGAGCCACACTGCGGTGTGGTTGCAGGCACTTGGAATGGACTTGGCCATGGTGGAAGCTTGTGTGGAAGGCTATTGTCGAGTTGGATGTGGATAATGCAAGGTGTTGTCTGTGTAGGAAGTGAGGGGTTGGGGTTGGTTTTGAATTAGCGTATTGAGGAGAAGTGAAATTGAACAGGTTCTCGTGGCTTGCTTGCACAGTGCGTTGTCGGGGTTGATTCGTCACTGTCCATGTCCATGTTGATGATCATGTGAATTGTAGTTTGGGTGTGGGTACAAGTATAGTATTGATACTGGCTAGATGGTTGATGTAGGGAATGTTCGATCGCGATACCGCGGTCATGTGACATCTGGGGAAAGGCGAAAGGGCCAGGCTAGTCCCAAAGCGGATGTCCCTGCCAAGGATGCATCGGCGGTCGGCAACTCAAGCTCCAGCTCGCGCACCCCCAAGTACGCTAGGCCGTGTTGGGTAAGTAGATATATAGTTTGTCCCAATACAGTTAGGCCCGATGGGAGAGTGTCTGCTCAAGTGACGCTTTGCTTTCCGATTGTCCAGCCAGAGCCAATTCACTGACTGTTTTCGAGCCAAACCTTCGCCCTCGTCGCTCTTGCTGAGCTCACAGCCCTCCCATTCTCTCAGTCCGCCCCTTCTGCTCCCCTCTTTCTGCTTGGTCTGTACGTGCATACATGATTGTGCAATAGAGTGCTTGAGCTACTTACCCTTTCACCTCTTTCTCTCGGCACCGGATCAAAGTCTCCGTCTGTCGCAGCGCCATCGGTGAAAACACAAAGGCCTCTCACGCCTCCCACACCTTTTCCCTGAGCCGAAAGTGTCTACATTCGTGTCAAAAATGGTGCGCAATGGGAGTCGGTCCCCAGCGGACAATTTTCCACTCGGCCATTCTGCAACCTCACCGCAACCACAGCCACAACCACAGCCGTCGAAACGCGATAAGCGGCGCAACATGCTGGCCGAGAAGCTGGCTGAGATGATGGCCTCCTTCTCCGACAACAGGGACAGCCACTACCGAGCCCAGCTTGCGGCGCTGCAGGCCGACATCAATCTCATCATCAAGGCGGACCCCTATGCGAACAAGCCGCTCGAGGACAGCGGCGAAGAGGCCGCTGAGCTCATCTCCCAGATCATGGGCAACAACGTGCCGACTGTGCCCAGCGCGGGCACCGACTACGTTGCCCAGTGTGGCAAATACTATTCGCGCTTCGTCGATGCCGTCAATGATGCCATGGAAGAGCGCGACTACAATCTGACCATGCTTTGGGTAAGTCCCAGCTTTGTCTGCCCCGAACCGTTGTCGCCTGAGATGCTAATTGCATTTTGTTTTCTCTTGGAACAGAACAAGCACCAAAACGCAAAGAATGAGATTGAGAATGCCCACTTTTACAAGGTCCAGATCGCCGAGGAAGAGCACAAGCTGCTCGCCGCCACGATTCGCGAGCGCCTCATGGCCAGCCTCCAGCAACGGACGAGCCGGCTGAAGCGCGAGAAGGAGCAATTGGACTTGTCGGATAGCAACGCCATGCTCCTACATCCCAACCAGTTCAGTATCGGCAACCCCGCCAGCCCAGGCGGTCCACAAGCCCCTCGCAAAACTAGGCGGACGGGTCACAAATTTGGAGACGCAGAAGAGTTGGCAGCCGCCGTCAACGAGAACAAGCGCAAGCGAAAGCTGTTCGACGACCAAGACAATGACTCTCCTGCTCCTGCCGGCCGCAACCTCGACATGGGTGCTGGCTCCCCCTTCCGCGAAGCCAAGGCCCGTACCGTTAACGCGCAATTCGAATCCGCCGCCTACTCGATTGACCGTCTCTTTACCGAAAAGGAGCTCAACATGGCGATGAATCAAGCGACAATTGCGGCCTCGCACTTCTTCGCCAAACTAAAGGGCGCACCACAAGACGCCACTACAAATGGCACCTCTGCCCCCAATGGCACCACCACGAACGGGGACCACCAGCCCAACCCCTCAGAAAACGGGGATCCCATGGATCAAGACCAAGACTCGGACGACATCCCCGGCCCATCCGACATGACGCGCCAAATCTCTTCGAACCCACACGCCACACGCGGCGCAACCCGCTCCGCCCTCCACCCCAGCGCCGCCCTCGCCAACGGCCAGATACCCTTCATCTACAACCCGCCCTTTGTCCTCGACGCCAAAATCTTCCAAAAAATCAACGCCTCGGCACCACCGCCGACCGCCCTCGCCGCGCAGGACATTGAACAAGACCTGAAGCTCATGCTGCGCGAGGCCCGTCCAGACGACGAACTCAACGAAAAGCTACTCCAGGCCGCCTGTCACCCGGTCAAGGCGCGCGACTACCAGGTTCAGCCCCCGGGCTTCCAGGAGCCTGTGCCTGAGATTACTCGCGTCGTCAGGGCGAATATGCCTCATCTTGAGGTCGGAGGCGGGGCGGGTGGGGGCGCGAATGGAGTCGGTGGCGTGGCGATGAGTGCGCAGAGTAGTATGGCGGGGTATAGTGATGCCGGGGCGAATACGCCGCGGCATGGAGAGGGTGAGGGGTTGGCGGTGCGGGGGGCTGGTTCCGGGGGCGGTGGGGTGGCCATGGCGAGGACGGCGAGTGGGAGTGGGAGTGGGAGAGGGAGGGGAAGAGGGAGGTTGAATTAGGAGCTTGATGGAATTTTATACTTCTTTCGCCTTCTTCTTCGCCTTGTTCTTGCCTGGCTCTCTCTATTGCTATGATGGATGGATGGATGGATGGATGGATGAATGGATGGCATCGTTCGTGGAAAGGTTTAGCGTTATATACCCAGTCTTACTTACTCTTTACCCATGGGGAACAGGGAAATGATTGTCATGCTGCAATGTAATACAATCTTCTATTTATAATTACACATGTACCTGAATCCCAAAACTCGTCGTCGCTCCCATCTATGCAACAACCGCGCTCGCCTCCTTCTCCTTCTTCTCTTCCTCGTCCCCTCCTCGCACCTTTCCTCCCAATCCCCCACGTACCTTCTCCACCACCCTCGCAAGCTCCTCGAGAAATCTATCCACTTCCGCCTCGGTCCCCACCGTGATCCTCAAACACCCCTCACACCCATACTCCTTGCCGCGAAACCGGACCACCACGCCCCGCTCCTCCGCCAACCCCTCATACACTGCCAACGCCGCCTCATTCGACGCCTTGGTCTCGCTGCCGGCCTCTAAAATCGGGTAGAGTAGGAAATTTGCATCCTGGCCGCCGCGCAGGGGGCCGATGCCTGGTATCAGTGGTATCTGGTGGAGGAGGCGGTCGCGCTGTTGGAGGATTCGGTCGCGGTTGGCGCGCATGATGGCGAGGTGGGGTGGGCTGAGTGCTGTGCGAGCGATTTGGCTCGTGGGATTGGGAATGTTGTAGGGTGCCTTCATGGCATTGAGGAGAGCGGCGACGGGCGGGCTTGTGAAGGCGGCGCCGAGGCGGATGCCCGCGAGGCCAAAGGCCTTGGATAGCGTCTGTAGGACGACGAGGTTGGGCCATTGGGTGACCCACTGTGCGAGGGAGGCACCGTCGGGCGCAAAGTCAATGTAGGCTTCGTCGAGGACGATGATGCCGTTCCAGTTGTGCTCGAGGAGGGTTTGGACGTCTTGTTTGGAGAGTAGTTTGCCTGTTGGGTTGCCGGGGGAGCAGAGGTATGCGAGTTTGATGGTGGGATCGGAGGAGAGGGCCGTGGTGATGGCGGGGACGTCGAGGGCGAAGGAGGGAAGGCGCAAGGGGACGCGCACGAGTGCCGTGTCGTTGACGTGCGCAGACACGGTGTACATGCCGTAGGTTGGGGGGCAGGTGAGGATTTTGTCACGGCCGGGGGTGCAGAAGGCGCGGATGAGGGCGTCGATGGCTTCATCGGAGCCGAGGCCTAGGAAGAGGTTCGAGGGGGAGAGCGGGGTTGTCGTGTGCGTGTTTGTGTTGCGGAGGTTGCAGAGGAGTTGCTTGAGGTCTTGTTGGTGACTGCATGAAGCTTCATCGTCAGCGACTTGCAAATGCACGTGGCAAGCAGCAAAGTCGTGGGCGGACGTACGGGTCTGGATACCGGTGTAGGCCAACGAGATCAATGTCAATGGCAGGTGGTGCGTCTGCGCCGCCATGCGCAGTTCCAACAGCCGTCCTCTTCCTCTCCCCCTCAATATCCAATGCTAACCCAGGCCCATATGCATTCTCGTTCGCGTCAAGCAGCACATTGGTTCCATCGTCCTTGTAGTCACTGTAAACAATTCATCAGCCTTCAACCTGGCCCGAGAACTTTGATGCATTGCGCTTCACCTACTCGCGCGCACAGCGATACGGCTCCAATGCCAGGATGTTGGGGCGCGCACATGTCTGCAGGCTGAATGCCGAGTTTGGGGGCGCCATTGTGGTGGACGTGTTGGTGTTTTGTTTTGTTTTGGGAAGGCGAGGGGTCGGAGGGTGTGACTTGCGTCTGTGTTTGGCGGGGAACGTTTTCTCTGCCAAGGGCGAAGGGGGAATGAGTGTACGGTGGACGGTAGTGAGTTGGGGCGCACAAGGCAAGGGTTTTTGGTTTTTGAGCGCAAGCATGTTTGGAAGATGAGATCATACTTGTCTTGATTAGCTGCTGCTGCTGCTGCTGCTGCTTCTGTACGGAAGTTCATATTGATATACAAGTATCTCCATGCCCCCGTGGTGTCTAGATGAAGAGGGGAATAGAGCAGAAACTTTGTGCAAGGCCTACAATACATCATATAAATCCAACTAGCATTTATTTCCACCCCTGGAGAAGTATCAAGGAAACAATGGCAAAATCCCAGAAAAGCAACGCGAAAACGTGTGGTTCTGCATTCTCTCCCACTGTCGTCCGCCGTAACTGGCAAAAGCTTGCGGCGACTTCGGGAGTCATTGAAGCCTGGAAAATCGATTGACTCATCTGCTGCCTGGAGAGATTTGAATCATGGTAGTGCCGACTCGGTAGTTGTTTCATGCTTGCAGCAGTCAAGAGCTTTCGTGGAGATGCCAGTGTCATAGGACTTTGGTACCTACACTGAGACGCTCAAGCCATCACGTACTCGTAACAAAGGATTGCGATGCCTACAATAGCGAGATAGTAAAGTTCGCATCATGCTACAATATCAAACTGCAATAATAATAAACAAGCTGTCTAACATGTCACAAACAAAAAGGCACACAAGAGGCCAGGACACTCGCATCTCCATCTCCAACCCCCCGCCCACGGTCCAACACCATCTAGATCCACATGCTCCAACAGCGCCTTTCCTTTGGTGAAGCTAGTCCACGTCCAGCCCCTCCAGGGAGTAAAGTTGCTTTGTGTCAGTGTCCCCACTTAGTCTATGGAACCGAAAATTTCCTAGCCTTGCCAACACCTGGGCCGCCCCCCCATGAAAAAGGCTACTTGAATGCCTTTGGACAATGATATGTATGCTATTTCATGGCTATATAGTTGTTTTTAAAGGCCATTTTTTCATCAAACAAGTCAACAGCATCCGATATGGTCTAGTGGCTAGGATTTGCCGCTCTCATCTCGCAGAGTCAGTTCACTGTACAGTGCCGGCAAGGCCCGGGTTCGATTCCCGGTGTCGGAATACCTTGATCCAGAGCTCCTCAGGGCTCTGAGTTGCTTGCTTTTTGGATATCTGGGCGCGGTTGTGGTAATGAAATTTTTTTTTCGTGGTGTTTTGGGGCAGCACCACGTGACTTTACAGTTGTTTTGTGGCATGTGACATTGGGAACTGTTCCGTTTGCGCTATTAAAGACTGTGAATTAATTACAATTGTATGATATGGCGTGGTGGTGGAGTAGTGATGTTGTTTTCGTTGGCGTGGATGGCTGGGATGGTGGATTTACGTGATTAGACTGACGGAAAGCAGCACTGCCCTCGCGAGACTATAATTCAGAGCTTGCTAATATACTTTCTTTCACTTTTACTATACACTGCATACGAGCATGTCGTCGCCCTCGCTGCTCTACTCCTCGCAGACGGCGCTAATCGCTGTCACTGGTACCTCGGTAAGACTGGCGAATTCTGCTCGAAGCCGCAGTGGATGAGTATGGCGAAGCCATATAAGCGATTCTTCGCAAGCACTATGCGTCCTATGATTGCAAAGGAGGAATACTTGGGGTGATTGCGAGTGTACCATGGTTGCCTGGGGCATAGCTTGTAGCGTGTCCTAAGCTATCTTCAAGCTAACAATGGTGTTTTGTAGGTTCCGTACACATCATTACGGCATAGGATGGCAAGTGTATTATACCTACCTAGATGGAGGCAGGTTGTCGAATGATCAGGGGCGCCTATAGCATCTATCTTGCACGCATTTCTTGATATGATGATGTACTGCATGTGAATGTTTGGCAGGGGGTTATAACTCATAAGCGTACCTCCTCCATCTTCTCTTTGTGTTATGTAAGCAAAGAAGGGAAGGAGCAAGGAAGGAAAAGGGAAGGAGCAAGGAAGGAAAAGGGAAGGAGTCAAGGCAGGCGCACTTGCTATTTATCCACCGGAACTACACCTACATACAACCCCACACCCACTCCACTCCACTCCTTCTCCACTCCTTTCTCCACACCCACGACTCAACACCGCTCCACACAACAACACAACATCATCGCCGCCAAACCCGTACTCCAACTGTTAAACTCCACGGGGCTAAACACGGGAATTCGCCATGTGCGATGGGAATAGAGCCGGGTAAAGGGATGAAGATGGACGGCTCTTGCTGTTGGCCTTAGCTGGCTGCGTAATGTACAGTACGATGCAGGGATATGCATGTACATGTACGTAGCAGCGTAGCTAGAGTGGAGTGCAGTAGGGCAAGGCACAGAGCGAGGAGAATGGCGGGGGACACAGGTACGGAGTCGAAAGTATACGTGCAGATTATGGTGGAATCATGCTTGGAATAGTATGGCGTTGACGTTGGCTGGCATTGCAATCGGCGTAATCAGTACCGGTACGGTGCCTAGGTACCTAAGCGGGAAGGTTAAATGAAGGGCGGGGAAGTCACAGGATGACATATCTGTTGCCATCACGGCGACAACGACAACACGATCCCCGTTTGTTGGAAGACTGGACTCCTTGGGTATTCGTTGTCCTGGGGATTGAAACGCACGCTTTTTGAAAGATTTAGGAGGGAGACTGTTTTTCTGGAGTTGATCTACAAGACTACGAATTGCTGGCTGCAAGGTGTATTGGTACCTTTGGGTGTACCATAGGCATTGGCACTGTGGCACGGTGCTGTCCTAAACTTATCTCGACTTTCGAATATCGATGATGATGGGGTCCACAATGATTGCGCTGGCTGCTGCGGGTATGCTTGGGACCGTTGCGGCGCAGGCGTTCAATTCACGATGGTTTAATCCAGTGTTACCTGGGGTACGTTTGACTTCAGCTATTTTCCAATTGACGGTCACAGATTACAATTACATCTGTATTGAAACACGGTGGTCAATAGATGATGGAAAAGATCCAGGCAGTGCTAACCACATCTCATCCAACATAGTTCCATCCAGATCCGAGTTGCATCTTCCACAAGCCAGATCAGACATTCTACTGCGCGTCGAGTAGCTTTAATGTGTTTCCTGGGATTCCGATCCATGCGAGTAAGGATCTGACAAATTGGAGACTCGTTGGTGAGTTGTTTATTGCCTTTATTTTTTCCAAGACTGCGGTTCACGAAGACAATATGTTCCGTTTAAGGCTCACGACTTCACATCCTCTATTTAGAGCTAACACACACTGCAAGGACATGCTCTCAACCGCGAAAGCCAACTCCCCGAGCTAGCAGAATCGGTTGGTTCGACGAGCGGGATCTGGGCGCCTGCACTTCGGTTCAATAATGGGACATTTTACCTGTTGACTACGATGGTGCAGGACAAAAAGGCCGATGACGATTCGTCGAGGTGGGATAATGTATGTCTCGGATAAATACATGGTACACAGAGTCAATATTCACCTCGGCCAGGTCATCTTCTCAACGACAGACATCTGGGACGAGAGCAAGTGGACGGAGGCCGTGCATCTTGACTTCAATGGCTATGACATCAGTCCGCATTGGGATGACGAGGGAAACTCGTATATTGTAGGTAGTCATGCTTGGAAGGTAGCGTGAGTGTTTTGTGAAGATAGTCGAGATATTGAATGCTGATGTGTTGATAGCTACGGCATACATCTCAACAGAGTGGACTTCAAGACTGGAGAGTTACTTGGAGAATGGACAAACCTGTGGAATGGCACTGGTGGCATTGTGAGTGCCTCCACATGCTTACACTGCACTGGTCTGCTAATCTTCATATCATACACAGGCTCCAGAAGGCCCTCACATCTTCAGAAAAGATGGATGGTATTATTTGATGATCGCTGAAGGTATCAAAGTCTACCCTGTAGTCATGAACGTAGCTTACAGAGTGCAGGCGGAACAGGTTTGATGCATATGGAGACTATTGCGCGATCCAAAAACCTCTATGGTCCCTACGAGCCGAATCCGGCAAACCCAATCTTGACCAACGCGAACACTACTGAGTACTGTGAGTGTAACTCTAGGCCAGACCGTGAAGCAACTAACTCCTTCGAGTCCAAGCTGTAGGTCACGCAGACCTATTCCAAGATGCACGTGGTCAATGGTGGGGAGTCGCACTTGCGGTGCGCTCCGGTCCTGAATGGAAGACATTTCCCATGGGCCGAGAAACGGTCCTATACAACGTCACATGGGTGAACGGGTCATGGCCTGAGTTACAACACCCTGTCCGGGGCGAGATGCGAGGATGGTCGCTACCAGGCATCATCAACACCCCCGGTGATGGGTAAGACATCCATCTACTTCGCCCATCCCACCTCCGACTGACTAAACTCCAGGCCCTTTGTAGACGAAGGCGACAACATCATATTCAAACCCAACACCACTATCCCACCCCACTTTGTCCACTGGCGTCCCCCAATCAAAGACAACTACGCCATCTCCCCACCCGAGCACCCAAACTCCCTCCGCCTCAAGCCTTCCCACCTCAATCTCACCGGCCTCGACGGCAACTCCCCCGGCCCCGGCGGCCAAACCTTCATAGCCAGACGCCAAGTCGACACCCTCTTCAACTTCTCCTTCGACTTGACATACCACCCGACCACCCCAAACGAAGAATCAGGCATCACCCTCTTCCTCACACAAAACCACCACGCCCGCTTCGGCATCGCCCTACTCCCCCTCGCAAACTCATCCTCCACAACCCCCACACTCGTTCCGCACTTCCACTTCCACGCCCAATCTTACATCCCCGTCCCCGCCGACACCATCGTCCCTGTACCCGCGCCCTGGCACAACAAGACGCTCACACTTGCGCTGCGAGCATTGAATATAACGCATTATGCCTTTGGCGTTGGACTGGCCGATGACTCTACGCCAGTGCAGGATATGGCGTTTGTAGGCGGTGATCTTATCAGTTGGGGGTTTACAGGGGCGCTGCTGGGTGCTTATGCGACGACGAATGGTGGGTATGGGGGAACGCCGGCGTATGTATCGAATTGGAGGTATCAGGGGTGGGGCCAGGTTAGGGAGAATTGGAATGGTACGGCTATGGGGGTGTGAGGGTTGGTGTGGGAGTGTATGTTTTTTTTGGCAATGTACCGGTAGACTCTGTAGCTGATGTGGGTTTCTAGGATGGATTTTGTTATGAGTGGTGGTGTCTTGCAGTTTAAGCATGCTTCTGTCGGTCTAGGCGGGATGACTGCAGTATCGAATACATGCATGACTTGCTATTTCTACACTGCAGTAGACGATGTGGCGTGTGCGGGAAGACTAAGTCATGGGAGATGCTTCAGAGACACTTGGGAGGATACTCGAGCGTAAGATGGTGTCGGGCTGGGTATGTATGGTATGAAGAATATTATTTTAAACTATACCGTACGGTCACATGTATCTCACACATACCCTTCATTCCCAGAATTACCGGTACCAGCATGACCATAGATACAGTCGAGCCATATATACCACTAAACAAAACTAACGGGCAAACCCTACCACAATTAAATTACACCTCTTCTTTCGTTCCGTTTCATTTCGGCACATTACCAAATTTCCAAGACGCGACCATAAATACCCACCTCCGATAACGTGATCCACCACCGAGCGCCTACCCCTACTGAGCGCCCACTAACACTAAAATCCACCACCCACTAAATAAGGATATTGCGCCACCTATAATAGCTATTATTACAAGATTTCTTAGAGTCGCGATTATTAGATCTATTAGAGTAGATTAAATATTTTAGATTATATAAGCAGCTTTTTAGGGGGTCTAATTAGGCGCCTATGCTGTAAAGTTGCCTCTACTACTATATCCTCTTCTACTAGCTCCTTATTAACCACCTTAGCTAGTATAATAGTAGGAGGCTTAAGGATTTACTTCTTACCTATTTAGGATATTTTAATATTATTTTAGAGTTACTTTTCTAGTTACTTAGTAGTTTTCTACTTATTATATATAGTAGCTTTTTAGGTAGCTTTCTCTTCCTACTCCTTCTTAGTAATTACTTAATTTAGGTAACGCTCCTCTATAAGTTAAGCTTTAGTAAGCTTCTATTGCTTATAAAGCTTGATTACCTTACTTTTTTAGTATTATAGCTCTTATTCTTTAAGGTTCTTTTGCTCCTAGAGCTTAAACACTTGCTCTACCTTTAATAGTAAAATAAATTAGGCACTACTACTATAATTATTATTAGGGGGTAATAATAGAGGTTTACTACGCTTCCTACGCTTCTTCTTATTAGCTAGGGTAGCCCTTAGGTGTTTATTTTTATAGTTAAGTAGAGTATTTCTTACTAATATAGTATAGATTATCTAGCTAAGCTTCTTTAACTATTATGGAAATTTAGATTACTAAGGTTAGGAATAATTTAGGAGATGGATTATTAGATTATATCTACTACAATCGTACTTATATATATAGAGCTTTAGCTACCCTTACTAGAAGGTAAATAATTAGTAAACCTTCCTTACTAGAGCTCCTACTTTTTATTAGGCACTTAGTAGTAAGCTAGTAGTTAATTAGATAGTAGGTTATATAGGGGTATTAATTAGGGTTAATTAGATTAAGATACTCTATAATCTAGTTAATATCCCTCCTATAACACACCCCCTAGGTATAGGTAGATCTTTTATTATTATAGTTACGCTTATAGTTAGTAGGTAGTATAGCTAATTAGAGCGTTATATATCTAAAGGGTTAAATTAGCTTACCCTTTAGATACTAACTAGTGCGCCTTTCTTATTTAGCCTACGCTTACACACGTAGATATTATCTAGACTAAGTTCTATAACTCTATCTACCTAACTATAATCTTTACTATAGCTTAAATTATAAGATTATATAACCCTAAAGATCTAAACTATACCTATATCCCTACTAACCTATATCTTAGTTAAAGTTAAAAACTACTACTTATACTTACTCTACCTACACTACCCTTATTACCTCTTATATAGCTAAAGCTATAGTTACTAAAGCTACTACTACTAAAGAAGAGCGTGCTACTACTAAGCGTAAGGCTATTACAGAGTATATAGTAGCTAAGCACGTAGCTACTACTACTATAGCTAAGATTACAAAGCTAAGGCAAGGCGCTCCTGCTCTAGCTCCTACTACTCTAGCTCTAACTCTAGCTCCTACTCCTCCCTAGACCCTACCTTATATCCCTACTCCTACTCCCTTTTTAGCTCCTAAGGAGACCCTAAGATCCTCCTATTATAGAGAGCCTAGTATTTATTATACTAAAACTTATCTAAATTATCTATACTCTATACTCTTTAATAAGTCTAATAGTAAGTGCTATAACTCTTCTAGTAGGGGGACTTAGTACTAGTAGTACTCCTCTAAGTATAGCTATATCCTAATATATATAATCTATATAAGAATTTTTCCTTTATAATACTTTTAGTAAGATCTTATACTAATAAACTAATAGCCCTAAGCTTACCTAATATTCTACGCTATCCTTTTTAGTAAGGAAGTAGGTAGGTAAGAGCTAAGACCTTCTTAAGGATAAGAAGTAGAGGGTCTTAGTGCTCCTTAAGGAGAGTAAGGCTAAGTAGCAGGAGCTAGTAAAAGCTACTACTATTACTGCTAAGCTTACACGCGAGGCTACTACTATAGCTAAGAGCGCCTAGAGCTCTTTATTAGAAGATAAGGACTCTAGCTCCTCTAAGGTTCCCCCTATAGATCCTAGGTTAGGGCAACTAAGGTAGCTCCCTATAGACTCTAAGGCACGCTTTACGCGTGTAATAGATCTCCTTAGGGAAGCTACCTAGTTAATAATAGAGAGGTAGGCTATAGTTAGTTATTCTTATATTATATATTAATAGATCTTATATACTACCTTACTTTAATTAATATTATATAATATATACTCTACTATTATATAACTTTAGGTGCTCCCTAAACCTTATAAATTATTATATAGTTAGGTTTTTAGTAAGCCTATTAGCTAGTATATTACTAGTAGGTAGGTAGGTAATACAAAAAGATCCCTTTATATACTCTTGCCTAAGCTACATGTTTTAAATATCCACATAGCGCAGCTTAGTAGTAATCCTTTTATTATTACCTACTACTAACCTAATAGTTTATTAATTATTATAATTAATTATCTAGGTTATATCTAAAGTAAGGTATATTTTAGTTAAAAAGCGTTTTAACGCTATTGCTTCTTTGCTTACTTGCTTAAGCGCAAGGAGCTCTGCCTTAGTAGTTAAAGTAGTAATAGTTACTTATTAAGCTGCCTTCTAAATAATAGGTCCTCTAAAGAGCGTAATTAGGTATCTATATAATAATTGCTAAGTATTAATATTATTAGCAAATAACGTATTACTATATATTATAAGCTTATTAGGATCCCTATTCCTATATTAGATTAATTAGTATTAAGTTTAGTATAGATAGACAATTACTTAATTAACTATATTAAAGTGTTGTTTAGATAGGTTAGTAAGGTATTAGGAGAGCTAGGAGGCTGCATAGGCAATATTAGGGCGCACCATAATTAAGGTGTAAAGGATTAATCTAACGCGCTCCTAATAGTCCTTAATCTCCTTTTTAGTAGCTTCTCTAGTGCTCTTTTTAATATCTTTACTTAATAGTAGTGTAGTAGGGAATTTTCCTATCTCTACTAGATTAAATTTCTTTACAATCTTGTTAATGTATTTATTATAAATAAGCGTTATTGTCTATCTCTTTCTATCCTAGATTACTCTTACCCCTAGAAACTAGCTTACAGGTCCCTTTTCTTCTATAGTATATCTTTGCTTTAGAGCTTAGATAACTTTATAAGCTTAGTTTGCGTAGTTTTAGTAATAGAGTAATAGGATATTGTCTATATAGAATATTAACAAGATACTATAATCTTTATTAAAGAATAGGTATAGCTCCTCTTTAGAAGTAATAAGCTTATTTTCTTAGAGTGTAGTTAAGAGCTTATTATACTATAATAATAGTAAGTCTTTTAGTCTATATAGAGCTTGTTTAAGCTTAACGCACTTCCTAGGTATTTAATATCCTTTAGGTAGCTTGCAGATAACTATAGGGTGTTAATCCCTTAAGGCGTTAAGGAAAGCTCTAACAACGTTATATTAATATATCTTAAGGTTAAACTTAGCTCTAATAGCTATTATAGTCCTAAAGGTTTAAGCTACTAGGGTAGCTATGTAGGTTAAATAAATTAAGTTAGTAAGCTATAGATCTCCTCTTACTACTATCCTTGCTTTGCACTTAATTAGGTAACTATCCTAATTAAGCTTGTATGTAAACACCTATTTAAGTAGGAGTAGATGCTCTCCCTTAGTTAGCCTATTAATCTCCTCCTAGGTACTAGCTTTTAGTAGAGTATTAATTTCTTTATATGCTACGTCTCTAAATTACTATCCTATTTAGTAGTTATAGAGATTCTTCTATTATTTTAGCTCTTTTTGTAGAGCGTCCTAGTGCGTATTTCTTTTAGGGTTTTTAGGAGATTTACTCCCTATTACTACTATAATTATAGCGTGGATTATAGTATTTAGTTTAGGATATACTAAAAGATTATATAAGGGATTTCTAATTAGATCTATATCTAATAGATCTATTACTATATATATCCCTACACTTATAGAGCCTCCTAGTGGTTTATTAGGGTCCTGTCCCTAAGCTTGCTTACTAACACGCGTTAGTGGCAGTCCTTTAACTCGCAGTTTTCTACTTCTTCTAGGAGCTCTAGGTGCTGCTTGTAAGGGATCTACAGGAGATATAGAATCTAGTCCTAAAGCGGGTAGGTAGGAGCTCTACTTACCACCCCTATAAGAGCTAGATAGGGTGCCCTTACCTATCTCTGTGCTCTTATAGAGTAACCTACTAATAGCACTCTCCCCTCTAGGTCTTTCCTAGGAGCTACCTATTGTGGTGTTAAAGTAAGTTAGATTACTACTATCTTAGGTAGTAAGACCCTAATCTATAACCTGTATAGATCCTTTATTTCCTATACTAAAGTTTAGTTTTAGTATTAGTTTAGGAGTTTAGAGCCCTTTTAGCTCTAGGGACTTTATATAGATCCTTTGTACTA